TTCAGTTTAGTTGAGGAAATAGAGAATAAAACGTAAACACATGGATTTGGGTTTCTTGTTTTTTAGCCTTTGGCTTAAAAGCACACTGAGGAAAAGAAGGTCCAGGAACAGCTGTGGAGAAGACCATCCAAGGTCCAAGTAGCAGAGATACCCCACGCTGCAACAGTAGCTATTTCACAGTCAGAAATGTGCATCCTGCAGATAGTAAGTACTCAACCCAAATCAAACTCACTGTCATCGAGCTGATTCTGACTCACAGCGACCCAATAAGGCAGAGTAACACGGCCCAGCTGGGTTTCTGGGGCTGTAACTCTTTACCGGAATAGAAAGTCTTATTCTTTCGTGGAGCAGCTGATGGCTTTGAACTGTAGACCTTGCAGTTAGACGTCAGCAACCTCTATGATACTTAGACACAGAGCTAAAGCAATTCTGGAACCCACGGAATTGGGTGAAAAGGAGCCCCCTAAGGCATATGCAGGAGGCCTGGTGGTTACACTCTGAGCTGCTAACAGCAAGGTCGAAACCACTGGCAGCTCCATGGGAAACGGCCGAGGCTTTCTACTCTCATAGAGCTCGTCTCGGAAACTCTCAGGGGCAGGTCTACTCCGTCCTACAGGGTGGCGATGAATCCACTCGATAGTGGTGGATGATTCACTGCTATCCGTGACTGGTCATCTATATAAGACACGCTTTGAAAAGTTGTACTTTAGGAGTCTAGAAGATGTAGACCAATGATGCAATAGCTACAGGTACCCTGCACATCGATACAGGTAAATGAACAGACACACAAAGAGAAAAACTATACAAAATGTTTTCACAGTTAACCTGAGAGAAGACTAAGAGTGGTACACGCTGTCCTTCACTTAAAATCCCAGTCGTGTGATAAGAGTTTACACAATATCCTTCTTAAAGCAAAAATGGACACTTCCGTCCAGTGACCGGTTGTCGGAACAAAAGACACTGCTAGTGCCAACTACCGTGCATTTGATTAATTTTATCAAGCCACTTTTAAAATAGGAGAACGTGACGGCCGTTAACACTTCACAGAAATACGCAGCAATCCAAGTGGGTAAGTTTGTTCCACAAAGAGAGGTACTTCTCTTTCGTCGGGAAAAGGCGATCTGGAGAAGTGGGGGGAAAGTCACTCGGAGGAAGAAATGAACCTCAGCCCAAATTTCGGGATCCCCGCCGGACACGAGCGCACGGGCAGGGCGGGGACGAGAGGTGGCGCGGGCAGCCTCCGCCTGCGCACGGCCCGGGGAGGGTCGGGGCCGGGAAGCCCAACCGG